CGGCAGCGGTGGCTTTTATGTAGAAGCCTAGCTAACCAAAACGTTCGAGGAGTCGGATGTGTAAATTTAAGATGTGTAATCTGTACCGGTCAAAGTAACGCACTTCTCATTCCTCAATCTTGTATATTTCATGTCAGCTCCACCTGTAATCTAGGTTGAGGCAATTTACTTCATTACTTTTGATGCTGCGCGATAGTGAAAAAAAAAGTTTTCCAGATGTTGATTCACGAATTGAAGAAACCGATAGTGAATAAGATAATTATACCTATCTTTATAAATAGTATGATTTACAATAGGTTTATTATTCTTTGTTCATTCGAATTTCAGAGACTTTAGTCGGAGCCTTGGCACGCGTATTACGCGAGGATTGGCGAAAAAGTACCGATTTGGCGACAAACATTGCGTACATCTTCTTCTGTTTCTCTTCCTTCTCCAATTTTCACACGGTCATACTTCATTTTAAAATAGGTAAGTTGTTCATTAGTGGCCCAAAAATTAGTATCGTCAATCTACTGCTTCCTAACTCCTCTGTTCTGTTTCCTTTAGGACAAACTCCATCCCTACTAGCCTTGATTACAAATTCAAAACATTTTCTGTTCATTTTTTTCAGCTTTACCTCGGTTTGTTATCGTTATGCACTCACGTGGGATTACGTTTGCGTCAGTCCCAAATGAAATTAGTTAAAATTGCACGAACTACGAGATTAATTGCTGTATGAACTGAATTGAACTGTGCTAATACTATTTGAAGGTAACAGTAAAATAACATTTACACTCAATAAATGCGATCTGATTCTACAGCTTTTCTGAGTAAATGTCCTAATCAAATGTAATAAACTGACTTAGTACTACCGGCGTGTTAATTCCAGAAAACCGGTGGCTTGAGGAGAGTTGTTTATTGTTAACCAGAGTTAGGATATGGATCATTTGGCATACGTATCACAAAATACCTCATTTTGAACATGTCATCACAATTTCCGGCAGCACAAAAGATAATAAAATGGAACAGGCAGCATTTATCATTCCGAACACAGAAATGCGCTCTAAGAAATTTTGTTTATTTTTTACCGTCGAAAGAAACCGCCAATAGCATTGTTTTGCATAGTACTCACAAATTGGTTAATTAGTACCTCAGAACACCGATACTTAAGTATGCTGAAAATCTGTTTATCGTTTTCCGTTCAATCTGTGCGTCACGTCTAAACAGTGTTGAGCATTGACTAGAACTACGAGGGTTTTGACGGTATTTTGATAATTGAAACAGAACCAACTACCATGGCTGACCGACATGTTGCTTTACCGCTTAGGATTTCGAAAGCGAGAGAAAGTCTAATAAACACAATTGCGCACACATTTTCTGCATAATGCGGGATATGTTTGACGGTGAATTACGGTAAATGTGCTTCGTTTCATTAATCTATCGTGTCAGTTCCTTTTACAACAAGCCGAACGGCCAATCCATCAGCACGAGGTAGATATTATGTTCTGTGTGATATGACCAGGAGAATATTCTGTCGGGCTCCAGCAGTAAAAGTGCTTGTTCAAACTACAATTCAAGGGACATGTTCTCTTTCCAGTTTAGATGTTAGGTGGGCAGAATGTGACTCGATTTTTATCAGCAATCGGGACAAGCTTTCTAACCTTGAACGCACTATAGACAGCTATGAAAGCAGAATGATGCTATTGCGCGTGAGGTGCAAAAAATACTTTCCCTCACATTGATATGGGATACGCCTTTCTCAATGATGGCAAGAATGATGCTGATGATGTTTTTGCGTGTTCTGCTATTCCTACCCTGTCCTTATTCAAACTTGTCAGGTGCACTGACAATGACTATCATTGAGCATGAGTTACAAAAACATGATCTGTGGATACAGGAGCTA